ACTCTGTCTTTTTCTGACTGTTACTCTCTGTCTGTGACTCTCTCTCTCTTACTTTATGCGCACTGCTATCTTAACCTTATTGGCCTCGCCCTGCATCACACAGCAACGCTCAGTGCCCATGAAACCAAGGTGGAGCACAGTTTGATTGGAAATTGAATTAAGATTAATCATTCCAGTCAACCAGCCAATCTTTCTTTTTCCTTATAAAATTGTAAAGATCCTAATTCTTTTCTACAATTGCATATATTGCAGTTGTACTTTTTATCAGCTCATTGCTCATAAATTCCAATCCAAGAGATTTTTATTTATTTGTTTAAGTGCACCATGTACTTGTAGCAAAGGTAAAATTACTCTGATTGGATGAGGCAGATGTCCTCCTTACATTTCATTGGTAAACATGACATGAGTGGAAATAATCTTTCATTATCTTTCCATTTTTCTAAAGTTAACACTAAGTTTTTTCAATAAAATTCTTAACTTCTGTGTGAAAATTTATAGGATGTCTCTCTTCTGGAAGCTGACAGATATCAACGAATTCCCAGGGAAGAACATCACTTGAGAGTACTGGGTGATTTGATTTTAATGAAACTGTGGGTGGAGGGGATGTGGCACATGAACACGACAAGTACATCCTATTATTGTTTATTACATTGCCACAGTAACAACAGAAGGGGGCAATGAATGGAACATTCAGAGAGAGGAACGAGAAAAAAATATCTTTTCCGAATGCTTATTTGCATTGCAGGGAGACTGTTGGTGGAGTGTCAAAACGGTGATTATTGGAGGGAGAGCATTGAAGGGAGATGCTTGATAGTTTTCTTCTAGGTGTTCTTTTCTTCATATTTCTGACCAGTGATGTAGACTGCTGTTTGAAATTGCCACTCACAAATTGGTGCTCTTCACATTTAAATTAAAGAAATTCTGACCCCTTGGCTCTGGTCTCTGTTATTATCCTTCACATGTCACTAGTGTTACTTGTGTTACATTATGTTCTTAAAGCAAATTTTAAATTATTGTTTATTACAGAAATATTTGTTTTTTGTCTTTTGATACAATTTTTGTGGTATATTTTTGCCTTTGTAAAGTGATTATTTCTATGAAATATTGAAGTAAATAAATTATTGCTTCAATAATTACAATGACAAGTGGTAATGTTATGATTCTGAGGATAGCCACATCAATGAAAATTATTATTTTTGTAATTAACAATAAAACAAATATTCGTATATTTTTGATAATCAAAAAGGTGATGTATAAAAAAGTCTATATTTCACCATTGCGATATTTCGCATGTAGCTTTCACGCATTCCATCAGGTGTGTACATAAAATCAATTATTGGACATGCTTTCATCTGTAAGTAAAAATGACAAACATTTATGATGATATTGAAAACAAATTTTTAAAATAAGTAACAAAAAACAGAGAATGAAAATCATTAAAATTCAAGCTTAAGTGAAAAATGTAAGTAATAACTACAAATTCTATATTAGATGGAGAAAAATTATTGTTGGT